AACCTGGAGGGCCAGGAGACTGTGTTCGTCAGACCTCTAACCATTGACCAACCTGGTATGAGAGACTCTGTGAGTGTCGCGGGACACTCTCCAGTGTAGCTCAATGGATCGCTGAGGTGCGCAAACCGTCACACCACGGTAAGGTCCAGTCTCTTCGTGACGGTTTAAACCTTAGCGCAGAAAAATAAGCCACCTACTATCCTCAAAAGATCTTATCCACGTTGCAGATTTTAGTGTCTGGGCCACAGGCGTCTCCTGCCGACAACTCTTGCTGGGATTCTGCTTTCTTTACCTATCGATGTATGTTGTGTCTCCGAAAAGACATACAAGGCCCCCCTTCAATCGTGCGCCTCAAACTGCTTAGGACGAGCTTAGATGATCCACATTTCACTCTTGGAGTGTCCAGTGAGCCTGACGCAATGGTTCGTGGTATCTGCGGTGTGGGAGTTGCACTCAGCCCCAAGGTTGAAAACGTCTTACTGGACTGGATCCCAGCGAACAGTGGCCCTTATGCTGCTCAATTAATATTGATGTTGATGCGGTAAGCGGTGCTTGCTTGTCGTATCAGCATACGCCCCAACAAACTACAGGTCTGAGACTGAGAAGGACGAGTTTTATCAATATATGTCACGACTGCTGCTACAAGACTATGTGGGATCAGACCAATGCCTCATGCTTGCAGGTCAGCCAGTCGACGTGGTAGATAAATTTGTCTGTGCCGTTGTATAAGCTCCGGTGGAATGACTGAAAATGAGATTACTTCTCGAATCGGAGAGGCTAGGGCAACTTGTGCCAACCTTCGACACCTATGGCGCCGATGTGACGTCAGTTTTCTATCAAAGGCAGAGTTTACATTGTGGTGGTGAGATCTATACTGCCCTATGGATCAGAAACGCGGTCCCTATGTGCAGAGGACATACGGTAGATGTAAGTGTCTGATCATTGGTGTCTCAGAAGCATTGGTCAAGTCTGGTTGGAACATCAACTGCTCTTTTTCATGCTCAGTATCATCTTCTTTTTTCCCATCATTACCAGTCACATCGCTGTACAAAAGTTTGTTTCTTGCAGGTCAGCCAGTCGACGTGGTAGATAAATTTGTCTGTGCCGTTGTATAAGCTCCGGTGGAATGACTGAAAATGAGATTACTTCTCGAATCGGAGAGGCTAGGGCAACTTGTGCCAACCTTCGACACCTATGGCGCCGATGTGACGTCAGTTTTCTATCAAAGGCAGAGTTTACATTGTGGTGGTGAGATCTATACTGCCCTATGGATCAGAAACGCGGTCCCTATGTGCAGAGGACATACGGTAGATGTAAGTGTCTGATCATTGGTGTCTCAGAAGCATTGGTCAAGTCTGGTTGGAACATCGGATTAGCAATGCTGAGGTACGCCAGATGGTCTTGGGAAGAAGGAACCCCCATGCAATGGATGGATTACTCCCGCTTCACGTTACGTTGGGTAGGACATGTATTCCGCATGCCAGAAGATCACAGATCTGTTTTGGTCCAGCACTGTGCTGAGTGAAAGCGACCGAGAGGTGGATAGTCTATGACCTGGTAACGAAGTACGAAAACACTAATCAGTAAACTTGATCGGCTGGGGAAATGCCTACTCCCTGGATGGAGATCATGGAATTCAAGTCACCAATGGTTGATAACATTGGGAGAAATGGCCCGATCGGCAATCAATGGCGCTAGTGCACCAAGCCATCGCCTTCAATGCGTGGCCACCCAGTTTTCGAACTAACCAGATGTGCCATCGCCCCCAAGGCCTAGCTGTATGTCCCACAACCCACCGTTTTCCGGTGATCGACATTGTAACAGCTGGAACCAATGCGCCTATGACACACGGTTTACAACTGATTTATTAAATTGAATTGGACGACATGGCAAGCAGTCACAGAAAGATTACTACATCTGGATGATTATTTCATTGTTATTTTTAGGAGATAACTCGGCGTGAGTAACACACGGTCCAGCCGCCTTAGTTTGCAGTCATTACCTATGATTTTCATACTGGTAAGCGTTCGAGGAACCGCATTGATCTTGATGTTCCCTGACTTCAAGAGTTCGCTCGTTTCTGTCGACACGCTCTCATTACGAAGTTGATCATGCCCATTCACACACGTAACAAACTTATTTCGGTGTGACGATTTGTGTCTACGATAACCTGTGAGCTATACTGGGAAGTGTCCGTGCGACACTCGCAATCCCCCGTATTAGGTTGGTCAGTGGTTAAAGGTCGGAAGGGGGCGAGATGACTCAGTGGTTAGAGCGCGAACTTACTGACCAGAAGGTCCGTGGTTCGACTTCTGCCTCTCGACTCCCCCTATCTAGGCTTGGGAAACCTGGCAGTATCCCAGCCCTCGTGTTTCCTTTGAGTGACATGGCAGCTAGGCACTGAAAGCGTGTTACGGCCACACGATAAAGGTCTGACCAAGTCCTCTAGTCCTACAGGTTTGGGGTCGCCACATGTTTGGTGGCTTGCTCCTAAAAATGTAGGCTGCTCTGAGGATCTTTCGCGTTTAGGGTTTTTGGCCAAATGCTTTGGTCGAGGGCCTAATCGTCCCGCTTTTTAGGGCTGCACGTCCTCGTAGTATGCAAGCCCACGTACAACGATAATTCCTAAACTAACAATCCTAAATAAAAAATAATCACTCAGCTGTAGCGCCCTTTTGGTGTCTATCTGCCATGCCACCCCGTTATGAATAGAATATCGACCATGATTGAGCACGAGAACAGGAGTGAATAGCGCTTTACCTGTTTAAGAATAGATGTACACAAGCCAGAAATGAAGGCTAAGGTATATGGATAAGAAACGACAATGTGAACACAAAGAATAGTCATGACAATCGCCCGGGCCGTAGAGAGGGGTAACTCGGTCACAGGGACTGAATGAATGATTGTAAAAATCTACTAGGGGGCAACAATAAGTGCGGTCAGGCTTCTCCGTTCCTTAAAATGTACGTCTCTTAAATGTGCGCTGTTGTGGCCTGAAAAAAATCTTTCAGCTGTAGCACCTTTTCGGTGCCAAACTGCCATGCCACCCGAAGGAAGCACGAGGGTTGGGATACTGCCAGGTTGCCCAAGCCTAAAAGGGGAAATCAAGAGGCAGAGGTTGGGTTCGAACGACGAACCTTCCGGACAGTAAATTCACATTTCAATCACTGAGCCAATTGGCCCTCGCTGGAGCCCGGCTACAGCAGATGTGCTAGGGTCATATGTATTTGTAGATGCGTGAATCGCCCGGGCACGGGGTGAGACTGGAGTGTGACCGGTATTACCTTCAACGCTATTGAGCGAAGACGCGTGCAAGGGGCTATATGAACGCCATTGCCTTCACTAGATGAGGTACGCGTGAACTCGTTGACATGTGTGCGATCATCACAAGGAGCGAGATGGCGGGAAAATGAATATGGGCGTAATCTATAAGTTCGACTTCCTCAACGACTGGTTCATACTTTGAGGCACAGTCAAATCTTTTCAGCAAAACAGATCCTGAGGTAGTTAGCCAAGTTGGTATAGATATAAGAAAGTGTTCAGCTGTAGCACCCTTCCGGTGCAAAGCTGCCGTGCCACTCGAAGGAAGCACGAGGGCTGGGATACTGCCAGGTTGCCCAAGCCCAGACAGGGGAAATCGAGAGGCGGAAGTCGGATTCGAACCACGGGCCTTCCGGTCAGTAAATTCGCGCGCTAACCACTTGGGCCATATGGCCCACAGGATGACAGACGTTCGAACCAAAACATTCGTTAACGTGGAGTGGCATTCCTGCAGACGCAGAGAAGGGAACGTATGGAGTGGATGGCATCTGATAGAGCAGGAAGGCTGGGATACTGCCAGCTTGCACAAGCCTAGATAGGGAAAGTTGAGATGCAGAGGTCAGGTTCGAACCACGGAACTAACAATACTGTCGTGCAACATCGGCCGTCACGGGGACCATCAGCCATATCACCTTAGTTGCAGTCGGGTAAACGAGAACAGGTTACTGATGACACCTCCATTCCTTTCCTTCTACATACTTGTTCTCTCCCTTTTCACCCCGTTGTTGGCGACATCTCCGTAGGCTTATTCTTAGGGACTGACAGGTCCCTCCGAGACCCCTTGTCATCAAAATTTTCAGCTGTTCCAGTGTCTAACTGCCATGCCACGAAAGCATGCGGACGGAGATACTGCCCAAGTCTAGACACGAGTAGCCGGGATGCCAGGGTTGTGCTCGAACCATAGACCTTGTGGTTAGTAGGTTCGTGCCTTAAGAACTAAGCTACCTAAAGACGTTAACTGCAAAGTCCCCCGTCGAGTCTACCGCCACAGGCGCTGACGCTTCAAAATAATTCTTCAAACCCCGATTCTCATTCCATCTGACATCCTTCGTCGTTTGCGTTCTGAAACAAGCTGGACAACGGATTGCCCTTGCTGGACTCTCTCCATTCATGTGGACTGTCTGAAACGAGGGTTGGAGACCCGGTTGAGGTTGCTGAACTGACCCCCTAAGGCTTTCCGTTCGCTTATTATTACGCATAGAAGCCGCTGCGGTTAGTTAAGCCGGGGTTATTAGTGTTCTAAGCCACCAAGCTGAAGGGTCTCTGATTGAAAGGCATTCCGTTGCTTGTCTGCTCTGTGCGGTTCACTTGGTAGCGTCTGTGAAAGTGTCCCGCAAACGCGCCGGTAGTCTCTGCCCGTTACATGTATCATCATCACCATCATCATCGTCGATAAGATGACATCAGTGTTGAACACCGATGCTTCGCTGCCGTATCTGCTTACTCCCCTGTGGACTGTAGTCCTGATGGCTCTTTGGGCGCCTTCTTGCGGTGGGTTTAGAGCTTGGAAATAGTTACAGTTGCCGGGAATATGAATGCACAGGTAGGTAGGCTTAGAGCTGCTGAGGTTCAATCGAGTGGTCGTCTAGGGCTCGAATGGAGTCGCACAAACAACGGTGAACGACTGCTGCAGTTATTAGCTGCCTACAGACTTTCTGTGCAGTACTAACTGCAGTTCCAGGATCCAAATGAGTTACAGCAGGTGGTCACTAGAAGTATCTGAACTGCTCGGCCTGGTGGTCGATGAACCTTTTCTTACTGGAGATGGCTGCGCCACTTTGATCCTTGATGGTGTCGCTCACACAGGGTTTCAGGGAGCCGGTCGCCAGTATCAATCGCAATTCCGGGATTTCTAGGTTTCTTCCATTTTCTTAGCTTTACGTGTCCATCAGGCTTACCGTTCGGCTCATCTTGGGGTCTGACAGTTAATCGTGCTGGATTATATTCGGCGCTGGCTGGAACGCTTCTCCGAGATTGAAGCAACACCACTGTTCTGTCTGATATCTAGTGCTTCAGCGGACCTGGTAGTGCCGTGCCACAGGCAAAACTCGCGGCACTGTGCAAACAGGCGAAAATATCGTTCCGACACGAGTCAACATCAATAGCAGTTGAAAGAGAATCCACAACAAGGGGTTTGTTTTGGTGAGAACACTAACCACAGACCAGCTTGGTATGAGGGACTGTGAGCGTCGCACGGACACAATCCAGCATATCTCAATGGGTCACGGAGGCAGACAAACCGTCACATCACAGTAAAGCCCAGCTTCTTCGTAACGACTCATTATTGAGGGAATGGATTAGCAACGAATACGGGAAAGGCAAAGTTGGGACGTCCGAGGACTATTGTTTGAATCAGTTGGAACCAGAAAATACGCAGCGATGCTCACGAAACAGGTCGCCAAATATCT